GAGAGAGAATCGGCTGACTCTCGGCTGATTTCTACCGGCTAACTCGGTGACGCTTATCTGCCAGGCCTGCTTGTTTCAGCGTGACACGTCAGGGGCTACACGCAATTTTATCGTGGCTGTGAGGCGCGACGGGCGACGACCCGGTATTGTGATCGGGCAGAATTAAATCGTCGGCGATCGTTTACGTTGAGCCTCTTGTCGAAGCTAAAACGGTTACGATGACATGCGGCCTGTGGCGTGCATTGGGGATTGCAACCTGGCTAAAGCGCAGCGGCTATTTATATATATATATATATATATATATATATATATATATATATATATATATATATAATTTTAAGATCAATATTGCACTTTAAACATGCAGTCACAGGCACCGTATACTTATCAAAGTTCAGTTTTATGGTATTCCCACCAAATACATGGTTGAGGCACTTGAAAAATAGCATTCGCATGTTGAATGTTGGAACTTCAGACAAACTTCTGATCACTGGTAGTTTTGCATTTTTATCAATCAAGTTAAAATGTCACTAGTCCGTTAGTTTGCATTACGCGCAAGGCGGACATCCTATCAGTTGATGTCGTAGAGTGTCAGTTATGTAAGATGTGTGCTTTGCATGTTGAAGATGGCTGCCATGTCTGTGACGTATTATGCTTCAAGTGTGGCGAGGCGTCTTTGGTCTATGGTATGAGCAAGTATGATAGTGTTCATGACTATTTCTGGTGAGTATTTCTGGTGAGTGGGATGCTCTGGTGTACACGCGCACGTGTTTTCGGTGCCCCTTCCGCATGCGCATGGTTAAATGTTGCCTGACTCCAACTAGTCCCGACTGAGACTAGCAGCAGTCAGGCAAGTGTGGTCTACTTTGCGGGTTTCACAGCCCCCGACAGCGTATTGGAAATAGTAAACTGGATTGGTCTGTTTTACCTTATCTTCATTTTGGATGGTGTTATTTTTCTTATCCGAGACGATGCTTTTGGACGTTTTTGTAGCATATAGCAAACATTTATTGTTTTCGTTGATCAATGGGGGCACAGTGTTTGAAGACAAAGTCACGCAATGCTCTCTGATCAGTTTTCCATGAAAGGACCAAAGTAATTTTGTAACAAAAAAGCTTCAATGTTCCATGATGACTGCAAGATGAATTATTTTGTTTGGAAATTTCTAGGAAGCGATCGAGTAAGGATTTCGTGCCATTGTCAACGCCAGTGTTTGTGTAACTGCTATTGATGATCATCTGCCGTAGTCGGTCTAGCTAGCTACATGGATCAAAACATCTTTCCTGGTGATCAAAATAATCTGAAACAAAGCAATGATTGGCTGAAACAGATCAATGCAGTTTGCTGTTTTCAAGGTGCTGCCAGGGACTATAAAATCTGCAAAGTAAACTATATTGATCTGACTGCTACAAGTATGAGCCGTCGTTTAACCATGCACCTTGCGGAAGGGGCACCGAAAACATATGCACGTACACACTAAAGCAGCCCACTGACCAGAAATACGATAGCCATAAACACTACCATACTTGTGCACACCAAAGACCACAAACGCTTCGTCACACTTGAAACATTATGCATCAGACATCTTGTACCCATCATCGACATACAAAACGAGCAGCTCACACAACTACCGTTCTGCGACATGCGGCTGTTCGGATTCACCTTTTCCCCGTAATGCAGGACTACCGGACACGCAAAATATGACTTGATTGGTAAAATGTCACACCTTCAACCATCAAAAGTGCGTCTGGGATTTAAGTAGGTAGCAAACAAATGTTAGTTCTTGAGTGACCCGACCATGATGTGATGGGAATATGATAAAACCAAACCATTTGAACATGTACTGTTTTTGTGACTGCATGCTTAAAGTGCAATATTTCTCTTGCAAATAATCATGGGACTGATTGAAGCGTTGAAAGAATAGTGAACATTAGTAACATTCTTTACCAGAGCACCGAAAGAGACCAACGCATCGTACGAAGCCTTGAAGAAGAGGGTTAAAGAACCCTCCCCCAAGGAAAATCATTGGATGAGTCCATCTTCGTTTTCTTAATGCTTTTCAACGACTTCAACTGGAACAGAAGCCCGAACCCGCCGGAAATGTAACTCCGCTTGTATTTTTAAGTCAACAAACTGAAGAACCAGTCATTAAGTAACTACACAGGGTAAACGTTTTTCAGTGCTTTCAAATATTCACTTTACAATTGTTCAGTGGACTGTTTTTGAACTGATAGCACTTGGGGATCTCGCCAAAATTATGTTTTGGGCTCTACGGAGATAAAGAAGATAAAATAGATGGTGAGGACTCCGTGAACGTAGATTGCAGATCGAAACGGGATCACGGGTGCGTATGTACATTGCCAACCCACATTCTTTTGGGAATGTTCAACTATCCTCAATGATTGAATAGCTGAAAATATAATCAGATAGCCATGAACTTGCAAGTCATAGAAACAAAATCCTCGACTTCCGGCGTTGCAGTTTCCGAAGGTCTCATGGGTCGTCCCCTCCCCCTCTGGCTAACACCAGGCGGTGGTCAACAGGCGACAAGAGCAATGACACATCTGAAAAGGTGCTTTTCGATGTATTACGACATCAATTAGTGCGTTTAGAGGGCATTCCAGAAGAACACTTCATCTGCACGATTGTTGGATTGTCAATAAAAGCGAATTATGCGTTTACAGCACTGCGAAATGTCTAGGAATCTGGCTGTGGGAGCTGGAAAAGTAGAGAAAAAACTTTCACATCTTTGCCGTTGTGAACTTTCCGCTGATCCCCAGAGGTCAATTTCAAAATAATAGAGGTGATATGTACATCACGTTCTAGTCTTTAAGCGATACAGATGTATTTTGAATTTTGGGGGAGAATTGTTTCACAACAGCCGTTCTCGCGCGCCCGGTGCCCGCCGTCTGGTGCTATCTGCGGCGACCGACGCTGCTTGGTATACATAACAGTTCTTACATCCGATATTGCTGCTCTGTATATCTCAACTTCTATCATTCGGCACCATATATATATATATATATATATATATATATATATATATATATATATATATATATATATATATATATATATATATATATGTATATATATATGTATATATATATACATATATATATATATATATGTATTATATATATGTATATATATATATATGTATATATATACATATATATATATATATATATATATATATATATATACATGTGTATATATATATATATATATATATATATATATATATATATATATATATGTGTGCAATGTGCCACCTGTTTGAACCACCTGTTTGTTTGATGACGATGATGATGCTTGAACCACCTGTCTCTTGACTATGACGTTTTCCTATTTTGAGCGGTGCGGTCGGCTGGGCGGTGAAGTCATGCGGTGGCGAATCCGTCTCGTATCACACACACACCGGAGGGGTGTAGTCTAGCGAAACAGGTTTGGGGCTTTTCCCGGATTAGAGCTAACTACCACTCAATGACTGGGAGCTTGAGTCTCGCCTAGTCGAATAGAAAGCTACACCTCTGCTGAAATACGTTTTCTCGCTCCGCCTCGGCGTGCGGTGCTAGCGCCGGGCATCACGATGATTTTG